GAGGACTAAGTCAGGTGAGAGGACACATCCCTGGCCCGCCTTCCTGACTGAAACATGCACTTGTCCTTGTTCTCTGCTCGTAACTGCCTCTGGGTTGGTAGACAGGTGCCACATGCACACCGTGCAGTGTTCTGGAATTCCCATTCTGCTCAATGCGATCTGTAGTTTGTTAGGCTTGACACAGTCAAGTGTCTTTGCATAGCCAAAAAACCCAAGTAAACATCTTCTTGGGGCTTTGTTTTTAGCTCAGCTCCATCTCCAGCAATGACAGCCCTGAGCCACTTCCTCTGCAGAATCAGGCCTGAAGTTCTAGCACTTCCCATTATGTATTGCGGCAACTGTTTTTTGAATGATCTCAGCAGAATTTTATTTGTATGTGAGATTGATGACATGGCTTGATAACGTCCTCATTCTGTTGAATTACTTTTTGTTTGTTTTTGTTTTGCTTTTAATTACCTTTTTTTAAAAACAGATACAAATATAGATCTCTTCCAGTCTGTTGGCCAAGTAGCTATCTTCCAAATTTCTTGGCATAGGCAAGTGAGTGCTTACACAAAGCCATAAGACACAGTACATAGAGAAAAGAGAGTACACCAAAGAATAATTTTATAACTCATTATCTTAGCATCTACTTTCTAACTGACCACTCGTTACCAATCTTATTCAACAAATGAGAAAGCTGAGGGGTCTATTTGACACCATGCGGGGTTCAAATAACATTCCAAACACTGTTCGGACCCTTAGAAACAATCAAAGTATACAGTGATAAATGTATACCAAAACTGATTATACTTAAACACTGCTGATTCAAATAAAAAGTCTTGCTTACAACTCACATTCTCCCAATTGTCCTGGATTTATCAGGGGGAATTGATCACAGTCACTGCCTCTCCCTGCTTTCCTAGGTTTTGTCCCCTCACCTCAGCAATTCACTGGCCAGAAATGTGTAAAATATGAGGGGCCAGCCCCAATCCCAACTACATGGACATCTGCCCCTCCCCCCAGAACAATTGATTTCAGAGGATGGCACTGAATCTGCAGCTCCAGGAGAGGAACATGTCTGACCAGAGCACACAGGAGCAAATGAAGGGGGAGGGAAGGAGAGTGGAGCACATCCTGGCCCACCAAGTCTTGAAGATGATATTCCTGCTCAGAGCAGCCAATCCAGAGAGGACCATATGGCCGTCCCCACTGTGAGACACGACATGACATCCCTCACTGACCCATAGCCCTACAGGGGACAACACCGGAGACACAGTATAGGAATTCCGCCCCATCTGATGCCACCACACAGAGGCAAAACACTAAGGGTGTGGAACAGAACAGCAAGGGGAACAGAGCAACGAAGTCCTCAGGGAATACCAAAAATAGACTTTGGGGCCAGGGCTTGGCACCCCA